ACCTGATAAACTGATACCACATTTTTATGAATTGGGCTGACCTTTTTTTAAAAAAAACCACAACCCCATTTATCAATTCACTTCTGTGAATTAAATGTTCAGTTAATTCCACACTCTATATGCTGCTAAACTACATACAGTATTTATTATGAGGATTTCCACATTTTTCTTTCTTTTTTGCAACTTTGTATGGCAAGTAGCAATAAGATACAGTATCTTTGTGTAGAAAGCACCTGTAAGAGTGGTGGGATGGAGAGAAAGGCTTCCCTTGAGGATTTTAAAACCCAGGCAGGCTCTCAAAGGGAATTGTGGTCTTCTAAGTGGCTCGCATACAATTGCACTCATTTCACACGCTAGCAAGGTTATGCTCAAAATCCTACAAGGTAGGCTTCAGCAGTAGGTGAACTGAGAACTCCCAGAAGTACAAGATGGATTTCGAAGGGGCAGAGGAACTGGGGACCAAAGTGCTAATATGCACTGGATTATGGGGAAAGCCAGAGAGTTCCAGAAAAACATCTACTTCTGCTTCATTGACTATGCTAAAGCCTTTGACTGGGTGGGCCACAGCAAACTATGGCAAGTCCTTAAAGAAATGGGAGTGCCTGACCACCTTCTCTATCTGCTGAGAAATCTATACGTGGGACAGGAAGCAACAGTTAGAACTGGATACAGAACAACTGATTGGTTCAAAATTGGGAAAGAAGTACGATAAGGCTGCATATTGTCCCCCTGCCTATTTAATTTATATGCAGAATACATCATGTGAAAGGCTGGACTGGAGGAATCCCAAACTTTAGTTAAGATTGCCAGAAGAAATATCAACAACCTCAGATATGCAGATGATACCACTCTGATGGCAGAAAGTGAGGAGTAATTAAAGAACCTCTTAATGAGGGTGAAAGAGGGCCAAAAATGGTCTGAAACTCAACATAAAAAACCCTAAGATCCATGGCCACTGGTCCTATCACCTCCTGGCAAATCGAAGGGGAAGATATAGAGGCAGTGACAGATTTTACTTTCCTGGGCTCCGTGATCACTGCAGATGGAGACAGCAGCCACGAAATTAAAAGATGGTTGCTTCTTGGGAGGAAAGTGATGATAAACTTCAACAGCATATTGAAAAGCAGAGACATCACTTTGCCGACAAAGGTCCGCATAGTCAAAGCTATGGTTTTTCCTGTAGTGTTGTGTGGGCGTGAGAGCTGGACCATATAGAGGACTGACCGCTGAAGAATTGATGCTCTTGAATTGTGGTGCTGGAGGAAATGTTGAGAGTCCCCTGGACTGCAAGGAGATCAAGCATATTAGTCCCCTGGACTGCAAGGAGATCAAGCATATTCATTCTGAAAGAAATCAACCCTGAGCGCTGACTGGAAGGACAGATCCTGAAGCTGAGGCTCCAATACTTTGGCCATCTCATGAGAAGAGATGGCCAACCTGGAAATGACCCTGATGTTGGGAAAGTGTGAAGACAAGAGGAGAAGGGGATGGCAGAGGACGAGATGGTTGGACAGTGTCATTGAATCTACCAGCATGACTTTGACCCAGCTCCAGGAGGCAGTGGAAGACAGGAGGGCCTGTCATGCTCTGGTCCATGGGGTCATGAAGAGTCGGACATGACTTAATGACTAAACAACAAGTGGCTTGCAACCAAGTCAATTTGAGCTTTATGATTCGAAATATAAAGGGAAATGTTGATTTTAAAAAGCTGCTTGTTTCACCAGCCATTTTGTTGAGAATTTTGGTTAAATATGCATTCTCAGGACATAAGCAGAATTAGGAGATATCAGGTTGAAAGACACTATAACACTGAGAGAGTAAAATACCAACTTAGTCTATTAACATATATACAGAGAGAATAGACATTCATCTGGCAGCATGACATGATACAATACATAGCATAGAAATAAGTGATCTGACTTACAACAGATAAAATGTTCTATTTACACATGACTTATATACATTCTTGGGACCAATCTGAAAATACACTACTTCATTTTCTACTTACATAAGGTTACCTCATGTGTACAACATCAAGTCCTTAAACCTTGGTAGCCACACCCAAATACAATCAGTACATGACTCAGGTAAATTCAGCCATTTTACAACTATACAACATTTATATTTAATACATTTTGAGATCAAAATCTCAACAAGAGGTCATCTGCAAGTTCTGTGTGTTTTGTGCTGTCAAACTGGGTATGACTTAAAGAGGCCCTAGAACTTTTAACATAAGTGAGATATTTAAAGAGTGATTCCACACACACACACCCCAGTGAGTTTCCATGGCTGAGCAGGGATTTGAACCCTGCTCTACAGAGTCCTAGTCCCTCATTCTGTCCACTACACCACATTGGAAACCTGTGCTACACCTGCCTAGTGCCATTAAATTCTTGCCACCAGGCTGACGTGAGTCAGACTATTAAAGTGGATGATAAACAATCCACATGATGTGGGACAGAGCTACCAGGATATTTCTGGAGCCCTATATTTGTGACGTCCAAGTCTCCCTAAGGAGAGTATGGAGTTTGGACAGGGAGTCACTTTGGTCACAAATCTCTCTTTTTATTCAGGTAAATCCTCAAGTCTCAGCAGAGCAGAGCACTTGTACCATGGACAAGCCTGACCATTAAAGAACACTTCACTTTACTCAGTACTTTGAAAGCACTTAAACATGGCCTTCGTGATTCCTCAGAACTCACAACAGCTCAGTCAAGTAGGACTTCTCTAAGGTATTGACCTTTTCCAATCCTCTGGATTTAGTCTATCCCGTTACCCGGCTGATCCAAGAGACCAGTCCTCAGTTGAGATTTTATAATTATTTTTATTAAGAAAATAAAGATTCATAGAAGCAATTTTGTTTGCAAAAGCAGTAGCACAAAGACATGTCCAAAGATTACAATCGTTAAATAAACCTGTTATTTCTTATTAAAATAAGAAATACTATAGATCTAAGCTATAGTGGGCTATTCCTACCCCTCCTTTTTCTTACCATGCTACATTTTGTAAACATTCCTAAATCCATTTGAAAACTCTCCAAACTGAAAAAGTTAAGAGAAGCTCTCTAACGCCTCCTTCTTCATAGCTGTAAACCAATTAACTTCAAAGAGGTGTGGCACCACTCTCCATCCATAATTCTCATGAAGATGTAGGTGTTGTTTATCTTCTCCCAATTAGGATGGTGTGCTGAGTCTTCGCACTGGGCCTCCATCATCCTTGTTCCCTTATCTGAATTCTCTCTGTACCAGACAAACAGACAACTGGAAAAACAATATCACGGCCTATCATATCCCAAAGCCTTCAAATCATTTCACATAGAACCTAACTGACTTCATATTCCTCAAACTATAAATCCCACTCTTCTTCAATATCATCACAATATTCTCATCCCTTTAACATGGATTCTCCACTAATGGCGTTGACTGCCTATTTATTTCTGGGTTCAGTCTGAAATTTTATCTTGAAAACCTTTAAATGTATTGGACCCAGATGATGAACTGCTGGATAGCTCAATGGTTTAGGCATCTAAGTTGGAAATTTGCTTCCTCACTGTGATTTTTTGACAGGGACTGGAGTCAATGAATCGTAGGGTCCTTTCCAGCCCTGCAGCTCTAAGATTTGTTGGACCACCTTCACCTATGGAAATGTGCCTGGCATTTAAGGGTAGCCCAGAAGGCTTTATGCTCTGGCTTGCTCTTAAGAGGTATCTGGCTGGCAGTCATCAAAGACAGAAGCTGTTTCTTGGCAGTTCCTCAACTGTGGAGTTTCGTATTTCATATGTTCCGTTCAGATAGATTGCAAATTTTAAAAAGAGCAGAGGAATTTATTGACATAATGTTATGTTAAGCTCACTTTTATGTGTGTTTTAGGAGTCCTCCGCCTATTAACATCTTTGCTAAAAGGCTGGCTATGAATCTACTCATTTAGGAGGTAGTTCACTCTACTGATTCCTTCCTGAAAATACCTTCTTGTCCCTTGCCTTGCTTCAAAAAGTTATGCTTATTCAAAATCTGGGCAAGGAGCAAAGTAACATATAATTGCAGATTTCTTGTTGAAGTTAATTTCCACCCAGCTTTTATCCCAGTAAGGGGACCCAAGCCAGCTTACCAGAATTTAAAAACACAAATATATTTACAGTAATTAAAAGAGCAATGTACAATGAAGATAAAAACACTATTAAACCCATTAAACCTCGTTATGATTAAAAGGCACTGAATAAAATCTTTAAAAAGAATTTCAAGCCACATGTTAAAAGATTTTTTTAAAAAAGACATATGTCATAAAATTCCTTCCTGAGCAACAATTTACTAATTAAAAGTTGGCTCAGGAAGTCTTTGCTTATTGGTATAAGGAGAACACAAAGGTTTCCAGTGGAAAAAAGTTCCACATTCTAGGAACAACCTCCAAAATCGTCATTTCTCGTGTCCACACCAAGCATGTGTGAGAGAAAGCCTTTCTTTAATGTCTTCACCAAAGACCTTAAAACCCAGGAAGGATCATGTAGGGAGATGTACCCCCTCAGATAGCACATTAAATGCTGCATGGAAATTGACCAGTTGCTTAAATGGTCCCTTTTTATAATGCACACTGGGGAAAAAAACCTGATGCGATCCAGTGCATTCTTTATGTACTCATCTGATTGAGCCCTTGGTTGGAAACCTTGTCCTTTGGCTTGTAACATAATTTCTCCCAGAAATAATTTAATCTTGGCTTTGGCAAGGAACTGATTAAGCTCATTTCTTCATACTGATGGATCATGAAATTACATACTGTATATCTATTTTAAAACTTAGATGCTATCGTGTTCATTCGGCTAATTTTTTAAATTGAGAAATAATGAAGTGAGATTTTTGTTCATTGATATAAGGAAGAAATGAAGAAGAATGTGCCCATTTAAGCACATACCCTGTGACCTTTCATTATCACCATTTTTGGAAATGAACAGTATTGACAGCTTTCAGACATCAAGAGCAGAGCAGAGGTGTTGACAGGTGGTCAGGTCGGAGGCCCTGTTTCCTGTGCAGTTGGCTTCCTTCTTACCAAGGAGCGGTCAGTGCAGCTTCTCTTGCAAAGCTGAGCTTGACACACAGAGTAACGCTTTGCCCTTTACCAAATATCTTCTCCCTTCTGAAGAGACACCAAGAATATCTTGGAAAAATGGAGGACGAGGAAGGCTACATGGCGCTTAGCATCCAACCAAGGAAAAAGCACAAACAGAACCCTCAACATCAGGAACCAGGTAAATAAGAGATTGCTTATTTATTTTGAATCTGCTACTGCACATGTTTTATAGAGCCTCATAAAGCATGATTCTGCCAGCTGGAGAATTCTAGGCATTTTGGACTACAATTTGCTCATGTGAATGAGATATTTTTGCTCAGGATATATAGGACTTACAGTCCAAATCATCTAGAAAGCAGAAGATAGTCTATTTTTTACTTTTAAAACTGGATCTATGAAGTCTTCAGCTCTCTGTCTACTTGCCTGCCTGCCTAGCTTGCTAATATGGTTGCCATGTGTATCCTAAATAAAAGAAAAAGTTTCGGTAATGACACTCCTGGGGTAACTTTGGAACAACCCCCATTTGTCAGCAGGGCCATTGTGAAGGTCAAATGAACATGGCAGGATGGTGGAGAGAGAGAACCAGATGCACTATCCTGAGCTTCTTGGAGGTATGGAGGCATATCTGTTGGTGTTCTTATATGCTGTCAACTTGCTTCTAACTTATGGTAATTCTAATAAGGTCTTTGAGGTATGTGTGATGTTCAAAGAAGGGTTTATCATTGCCTCACATACACCAGTGATTTTCCATGGCCAGTTGGGGATTTGAACCCTAGTCTGATGCTTTTCCATTACAGTACACTGGCTTGAATACAAGAATATAAATGTGACTAACTAAATGTTAGTGATTAGTGATTTGGAAGTGTTAAAACATAAACAAACAGCAAAACAGACACAGAAAGAAAGCGTGTGTGCATGAGAGAGAAAGAGAATAAGAAACGTACATATATGATCTCTGCCTAATTCAATGTCCTGCCTACTTTTATGGCCTTCTTCCTCCCTGGGGGTTCATGGAGGCTCACAGAAATTCATTAAGTGCTGTTACTTAGCACTAACTAGGGGTAAACACTGTCTCTAATAATGGTTAAGAAATTTGCTGTTGTAACTAGCTATCAAGCACCCCAAGCACTGTGAGAGGAAGGCAGTTAAGGCCCACTTCAGACATTAGGTGGGCGGCATGGCTGTTGCTGAGAAGCGAAACAGCAGATCATTGCTGATCTTAATAGCTTCTCTCCATTGCCCACAGAAGGCCCAGCCAACTCAGTTGCTTGTGAATTTGAAGCCCCAGATAAAGGGCTGAAATCGGTTCCGGCCCTGAAAAGAAATTCTTCAGCACAGACAACGGAGTATTGTCAAGTACAGCTGAATCATATGAGGGATAGTCCAAGATCTGTCTTTGTGGCACATTTTGTGGAATAATTGTGAGCTGGAGTAATTTGTGGGCTGCCCGGTGAGTGGAAGATTCTCTCCTTGGCCTTGAGACTCTTAGCAGAGTGTGAAATATTTGGCAAAATATCTCTACCTATGTAGCAGCTAGTGCAGGAACCTAAAGAGCGGAATTAGCTTCAAATCTCCCAAAAACAGACCAATAGTCAGCCACAACCAGGCAACCCTCTTGGATCTGTGCAGCTTCCCCTGCAGAAGAGGAAAAGGAAAGATAGAGCTGCATGTCATCAGCATACTGTTGGCCATGAGGGTGAAACAATTTCCCCAAGCTAGAGTCTCTGGCACCAGCTTCTGAGGAAGGAACAAAGCCAGCATGATGCTAGGTCTCCAATCTCCAACCCTGCCAATCAGTCCAGGAAGATACCATGGTTGATGGTATCGAAGGCTGTTGAGAGATTTAGGAGCACTAACGGTCACATTCCCCTGGTCAGCCTTCCATAACAGGTTGTCTAGCAGAATGACCAGAATTGTCTCAGGGACCTGGCCTGAAACTTGATTAAATTGGATCCAGACTATCGGTGTCCGCCAAGAGCACCTACAGCTGATTGGCCACCAACCTCTCTATCAGTTTTCCCATGAATGCTATGTTAGCAGACAGACCATAGTTGTTCAAATTGTCGGTCAGCAGATCAGCTTCCTTGAGAATGGGCCAGATCATCATTTTCTTCAGAACAGAGGATATATAATCCTCCTGTAGGGAGGAGTTCACCATCTGAGTTGCCCATTCAACTGTCACCTCCTTGGGTGATTTTTAAGAGCCAGGATGGACATGGGTCTGATTGGGAGATGGTGGCCTTACAGTGTGTGCAAGTGCCTTGGTCCACATCATCAGGTGACATAGGCTGAAGTTGATCCAATATGATCAATATGACATCTCAACATGACTTATCATACTAACAGAATGAAGGTCCCTATGGAAGGCCTCAATCTTGGTGGGGAAAAGGGCTGCAAACCACTCACAGGTAATGGATGTTGTCTGGCTCTGGTGAGGCTGGAGAACGCTCTAAAGACTTTCACTAGGTGGTTAGCTGCTTCACCGATATGCCATTTACTCACAGTTCTGAATAGATCACAGAACAACATACTGTAGAAAAATAATGACTGGTTACATCAACAAAGCTTAACTGATTCATAGCTGCATATTGACTACATGACAGACTACATATTGCCTGAAAAAGAACAGGGAAAGGATTCTTAAGGCATAAGCTCTTCAAAATCCGAGATGGACCAACTGGTTACTGCTGGGTTGACTGACAGTCACCCAACCCAGAAAGGTCCCTCCCAGCCAAAACCTCTTAAAAAACAGCAGAGGAAGGTTTGCTAGAACTCCCAAATGAAAATGTTCTTTCATTTTGTATAAGACTCATGATAGTCATTTTAAAAAATAACCTTACAGCGGCATTTTATAAACAGTCAGAGGTTGAACAGCTTTCTCCAAACCTTGACTTTTGTAGAAACCCTACTGCGACATCGCCGGTGTTGTCAGATCATTTCTGGGGCTGGAGGCGCCGTGATCCTGCTTCTGGCTGGAGCTGCCGTTGCTTTGCGTATTTGTGGTGAGTAGCTGTTCTAGCCCATACATTGCATTGTTTGTGCAAGGTGGATAATTGTTTGAAAACACCCAGGTTTATGAGGATTATGGATATGATCGTAGGAGAAGATATGGAGAAATCTGTAGAACAAGGGGTAGTGTAGGCCAAAATCCTGTTTCCCACATTAGACAGACAGAAATTTCTGGGATAGCTGCAAGTAAGGGATTCAACTGTCTTTGCCCTTCTGTTCTTTAACAAACAGAAGCTCTGCTTTTCTTCTTGATGGGAAGGGCTTTAAAAGCTAGTGTGGCAACTGAGGCTTGACCCCATGGCCTTTGGCTGGGTTCCCTCTTATGCTGTTGAACTACACACAAAAACATGACATATTTATTTTATTAAAAGCATTCTGCACATCACTGTACCCCAGAAGATTCAATATGGTGTAAATAAAATACACGTCTCTCTTGAACTGCATGAGTTAGAACAGCACAGTTTTGGTTAAACGTGGATTATTTTTTTCAACATACTTACATATCAATATGTAAATATTGCAATTTATTATTTATCACCCCTTCACGGATTGCTGCCTTGTCGTGGCAATGGGGTTTGAGTAATTCAGAGAAGCTATGGGCTATGCCGTGCAGGGACACCCAAGATGGACAGGTCATCATGGTGAGTTCTGACTAAACGCAATTCACCTGGAGCAGAAACTGTCAAGCCACTCCAGTAGTATCTTTGCCAAGAAAACTCAATGGACAGAAACAAAAGGCTAAAAGATATGACCCTGGAAGATGAGCCCCTCAGGTCAAAAGGCATCCAACATGCTACTGAGGAAGAGCGGAGGACAAGGACAAGTAGCTCCAAAGCTAATGAAGTGCTTGAGCCAAAGCCGAAAGGACGCTCAGCTGTGGACGTGCCTGGAAGTGAAAGGAAAATCCAATGCTGCAAAGGAAAATACTGCATAGGAACCTGGAATGTAAGATCTATGAACCTTGGTAAGCTGGATGTGGTCAAACAGGAGATGGCAAGAATAAACATTGACATCCTGGGCGTCAGTGAACTAAAATGGAACAGGAATGGATATTATAATTGTCTGAATTCAATTCAGACGATTATCATATCTACTATTGTGGGCAAGAATCCCATAGAAGAAACGGAGTAGCCCTCATAGTCAAGAAAAGAGTGGGAGAAGTTGTACTGGGATACAATCCAAAAAATGATAGAATCCAAGAGGAGATCGGGAGGCTTCAGCTATAATGTTATCAGTAACTGATGATACCCAATCATGCCTGTCTTTCCCATATGATTCCATAGAAGTCATAGGGATCCTTAGCCTCTGTTCTGAAGTCAGCAGAAGACTGAATGTTGTAGGCTGCGATGCTAAGAAGGTATAATGCTGGAACATCTAAAATTCCTGTTGGCTTCTTGGTTACAGGGTAGAAGTCAATTTTTCCAGGGTTTTTCTAGGTAGAAAGTACTTGGAGTGCTTTAGAAATGGGTGACTATACAGGCATTTCTTCTGCTGTTTGGTCTGTTGTAGGGACAGGCTGGTTCACTCCTTTCACTGGCAATCAGACAACATAAGAGCCAGTGTGAAGCAGCTCATCCTGAGAGTATCCCTACTCATGGCTTTCTGGCTTCTTGTCAGGGGCTATTCATTTTTTCAGGTGCAGCTTGCAGGTAAGATTGCTTAGTTTTAGATTGTTTCCAACAAGTGTGATCATTGGGATCAAACCAAAGCAAGGCTGGCTTAAAATTTCCTATCCACGTTAAATTTCCCAGTATTACTTAGGCACTTAATTATATTGGGAAAATAAAAACTTCCTCTGCCCCAGCTTTTCCATTTTTTCTAAAACATACGGTACATCAGCACTGCCCTAAGAAGCTTTTAAAAATACTCCAGTATTTATCTTTGCATATCATTGCATTACAGTGGACCCTCTACTTATGGAATTAATCTGTATTGGAACGGTAGCTGCAGGTCGAAAAGTCTGTAGGTCAAGTCTCCATTGACCTACAATGAATTGTAAACCGATTAATCTGTAACCGTCCGTTTTTGTTCCGTTTTTGTTCCATTGTGGTTTTTTTCTGGTCTGTAAGTCGATTCTCCGGCTGCAAGTCGAACCTAAATTTTGCAACCAGAGAAGTCTATAACTCGAAAAGTCTGTAAGTCGAGCCATCTGTAAGTCGGGGGTCCACTGTATATGACTTTATACATTTTGTGTAGTGTAAGGTAAAGGTAAAGGTTCCCCTTGACAATTTTTGTCCAGTCGTGTTCGACTCTAGGGGGCGGTGCTCATCCCCATTTCCAAGCCATAGAGCCAGCGTTTTGTCCGAAAACAATCTTCCGTGGTCACATGGCCAGTGTGACTTAGACATGGAACGCTGTTACCTTCCCACCGAGGTGGTCCCTATTGATCTACTTGCATTTGCATGCTTTCGAACTGCTAGGTTGGCGGGAGCGGGGACAAGCGACGGGCACTCACTCCATCACGTGCATTCGATCTTACGACTGCTTGGTCTGCTGACCCTGCAGCACAGGCTTCTGCGGTTTAGCCCACAGCGCCACCACGTCCCATGTTTGTGTAGTGTAAAAGAAACTAAATGTCTGCAAAAGTCAAAGGAAGATGAATGCTGGGGAAAGATCTGAGAAGATTCCCTCGAATCAGACGTGCGCTCACACTGCGGACAATGTTGAGCAATGAAGGAGCAGCATGATCAATTGGTATTTTTTAAGTCTATAAGGGCAGAGCTGATGTGTTGTACCTTTTAGGGGAAAAAATTGAATGCTTCTTCTCAAAAGGAGGAGGAGACAGGAGGGAGCAAGGACTGGGGTTGTTGTTGTTGTTTTATTTTCTGCCTCAAGATAGGTGGGCCAAATAAGGTTGCTTGAGTTATGTACCCCATGTGGGTTCAAGGATTACATCAAATGCATACTGGACCACTACACAATCTTAAGTTAACCTATTTAGTCCACTGCAGCTTGTTACATTTAAGCTATCTAGCCAAGCTAACCGGGTGCCCTCTTCTGGGAGAAATTTGAGACTATGCAGCTATGCATGGCCACACAGACTGGCTATTCTCATAAGAAGGCACAGAGGGGAATCAAACTCCCAACACACAACTCACTGAGCTATCCAGCCAGCTACAACACCACAATCTGCTCACCAAGATGGTGATTTCAGGAATAATAATCTAAAATACAGATTTTGCCATCTGCGTTATCAGTCTACCAACGCCATACAGAATAGCAGCAGAAAAGACATGTTGATAATATGTAAATGGCATTTGTGGAATGTAATGAATGATGTGTGCCTTTACTTCCACATAAGAAACATTGGTGGGATACTTTGATTTTTTTAAAAAAATTACTAATAATTTAAATGAATGTTTTCTTCATTTCAAGCTTTTCAGAGGAAGTACTATACGGATCCTCTAGAGGAACCTGTTGTCCCTCAAGGCCGCATCAATGACACAGAAAACAACTCCAGACTCAAGAATATAATCTCCCGCTTACAAGAGTTTATGTGTAAAATACCACAAAACAAGTTAACAGGTGAGGTTGATATTTTCCCTCAATGAAAAAAAAGGGGGGGAAATCCTTTTGAGCTGGTTTATATAGTGTATGGATAATAGATTAGGCCAAGAAACATTGCTAGGATTTAATAGTTCTGCAGAAAATATTTATCAACAGAGATTACCAGTAATGTAATGACAGATTTGCTTATCAGAGTTTTATTGATTTATGGCAGCCTCCCAGAGATTGGTATCCAGCAGGTGTTTTGAATTACAATTACCAGCATCCACTTTAAGCGTGACCATTATCAAACTGGGTACAAATTATGGGAAGAAAGTATTCTTATCTCCTCCTCTCATAGCAGAGCTTGAAAAAGTTTTTAAAAATTGGAATACAAGTCTCATGATGACTTGTGAAATGACTTTCTGGGAGCTGAAGTTCAAAAAGTAACATTTCCAAGTTCTGTTCTACTGCTGCATTTAAGCAAAAAAAAAAAATAAATCTAATTTTCTCCCTACTTTATGGGGTCTCACTTGACTGAAGTTTTTGTTCATGCACCACGGTTGACGATATAATCTGGCTTGGTCCGACATACACCTGTCAAGTTCAAATGTATCACATTCAAACAAACCCTCAGAGCACTATAAATTTATAACACTCTTTGGTAGGTTGAGTCCATGAGAGGTTCCTCACAGCCTATATTTTCCCCTGCTAAGGGCTAATTTTTCAGTGTGAAGTCATATGAAGTTTCGCCTGAGTATCAAGTTATAAGTTGTTTCATTGCTTAAATGTTTCAACTAATAATAAACTATTGTTTCACTCATGGTGAAGCAAGTCTTTCTCTAGATATTCAAACTCCCAACCTGTGTCTCTGCAGCCAGATACTTAAATCACTGAGCTATCCAGCCCGTTACTGATTTTTTATAACCCTCCTTAATTATGTTAACACTATATTTATACAAAATGACAAACTTTGACACAACTGCTAAGTACACCCTGGAGCTACATCAAAGTTTGTTTACAAAGTGCTGAAAAGTGTAAGTGACAGATGTGCAACATTAAAATCTGCAGATGCCTAGGGAAAATGGTGCCAGTGAGCATCAACTAAAGCACACGGGGATCCACATTTCTATTCTTTTCTCTCTAGAGAGCTTCAGGTGCAAACTGTGCCCTGAAAATTGGTTCCGTCTTGAGAACAAGTGTTACTGGGTCTCTAAAATACAAGCAACCTGGCAAATGGGTCAGGAAGACTGCAGAGCAAAAGGCTCTCAAATGGTGGTGATACAGAAGCAGGAGGAAGCAGTAAGTCTATCAGATTCATTATTTTGTGTTGTGTACTGACAGTTGGTCTAATGCAGCGGTCCCCAACCTTTTTCGAACTGTGGACCGGTGGGGGGGGGCTACATGCGCAGGCGTATAGAGGCACCCCTGAGCTCACAGGTGGGCATGTCACACTCGCGAGTGGGCATGTCGCACTTGCGGCGGGTGTGTCATACAGAGGGGCATGTCACGCTTGTGGAGGGGCGTCATGCTTGTGTAGGGGCGGGTCACACTTGGGGCGGCTCTCACTTGCAGGTGGCCCCCTCCGCGGGCGTGACATGCCCACCATGCATGCGTGGGGGGGGAGATCCATCTCCCCAGCCCAGTTCCAGGAAGCCCACGGACTGGCACCGGGCTGTGGACTGGGGGTCGGGGACCCCTGGTCTAATGGACAGCAAGGAGAAGAGTCTATTGGAAGATGGTTGTCCTGAACAGGTAGAGTGGGTGACAGAAAAACTGTCAGTCATCAAATGCCTCCCTCCCTATTATCCTTCAGGATAACTCCTTTCTGAAGTGTAGATTGGTATGGTTGAAATATGCAGCAACCCAGCATCTTATGCATGGACTAATTACAAATACAGTTGGTCACATGACCCCCTTTTTCTTAAGCAAACAAACAACGACTCTCTTCCCTTCCCACCACTAGGTGTTTAACCTTCTTCATTCTGAGGCATTTCGTTTTCAGCTCTTGCTGCTTGTCCTCCATCTTGTGAGGCAGACATTATGTTGCGCTTTCTCCTCAGTCATGAGCCTGAGAGAGAGAAAACTATGTTCTACCATTTTAACAAGCAAAATGATTTTTCTTTTCACCACTAGCAATCCTATGTCTTCGTGTCATGTTTTTGAACACATAATTTTGTAAATAAGCATTGTTTCTTCTTTTTTACTCTTGTCTGACTTCTTGTTTTTGACCTAAATAAGGGAAATACTTGGTGAACATACTTATAATTCTATATATATAAACTGCTAGGCTTTGCTTCCTGTAATAATATATCCATAATGATGCCTGGCCTCTTGTAGGACAAGAACAATGCCTTGTAGGACAAGAACAACAAGAAACATGACCGTTTAATAGTATTCTAACATCAAAAGGGAGAGTAAAAGTGTTTTCAACAAAATGAATGCAATCAAGAAGTCTGGGTTTGCACTTGTACAGGCCTGCTTACAATGCCATCTTGTCTTTATATGTATGTGCTATCTGGCAATACTGTTTACATTTGTCACATTTGAGATAAGAATGTGAGGTAAAAGTGTAAGATCCATTGAGCTAAGGGGGGGCCGTGCAATCCAAACAAACAACAACAATAATAAAATACTGTACAAAGGCAAGAATAGGCAATGTCTTTACAGACTGCTAAAACTTTCCATACAGTATGCAAGCTTTGGGGGATCGAAACACTCCTTCCTTGGACTTGTACCAGTGTGAAGAATGTCAAGTCCAAAGTTCACCGCAAGGCAGGTTTTGTTAGGCAAACTTTTCTGAGATAAAAATCTGGAGAAGTGCAGGAAGCAGAAACTGCTGCTTGAAATTCAACAAAGCATCCTGTTCCCTGCAGGCTTTTATACAAAGTATTTCTGAAGAGGCGCAGCTGCTGTGGATTGGACTGATGACCACATTCCCCTTGGGAAAATGGATCTGGGAAGATGGCTCCCCATTAGATGAAAACCAGTGAGTACCTCTTCCTGAAACCCTGCAAACTTACAATCAGGGGTAAGAAACCCACTGACAGCCCTTATGTCCTCAATTGGTATACTAGGAAGTTGTAGCTTCCTACAACAAGCATGGATATCAATGGCCATAACAACACATGCAGGCCTGTTTTTTTCTCAAGAGTGCATTGGTGCCATTTTTATGCCATACTAGGGGTTCCATTCCTGACCAACCAGCCCTGGGGCCTGACCTGTGGCAAAAACAGAGTCACAAGAGCTGCCCTCTCAAGCAAGAACAGCCTCACTGCCTGGCCAAGGCTGGGAGGCTTCCCAATCACCTTAGCACTGATGTCCTTTCCTGGGGAGGAGCTCCAATGGCTCCTTTCCCCCCGCATGGTGAGCAAGCAAGGCTGCCCTGACCCCAG